CATGTGGTGCTGGGGATCGAACCGCGGTCCCTGTGCTTTGCCAAGCTTGTTTCAAGTAGGTGCTTTAGACCACTGAGCCATCTCTCCAGCCCCTGCTTCTTTTTTTTGAGACAGGGTCTCAATATGTAGTTCAGGCTGGATTTGAACTATGTAGCCCAGGCACATAGCCCACAGGACAGCATTCTGATAATGGTCATCATACACTGTAACTAATTGTGTTTTCTAGCTCCTGTGCATTCTGGAGTGTATACCCAGATTTTCACTCTTCCAACTTCTGGGGCTGGTTTTCCATTAGTGGTTTAACACATACATCTGGACCCTCACAGTGGTTCAGACCCAATCTTTCTCTAGGCTGGGGCTTTCAAGGATGGTGAGGGTGGGGGTAGGGTGAGGTCACAGAAGTTTTGTGCAAATGTGTCTGGAATTAATATGCATTGAAACAAGACCGTTTGAAGCTTATTGAAAGTGAGTAAACAGGATGGTAAGCTCTTTGGACTTGGATGTATATAAGCAAGAACTCCTAGGTAGGTGGCAAAGTTGGTCTATTTAGTTGGCCTCCACATGCCACATATCCCAGCTGTGGTCTGGGATCCTTTACATATGTTCTGTTTTTCCAGCTTTTCCTATTCTTGCCAAGAGGGAGAAACTAAGGAGCTCTGGTCCTCAGGCCACCACCTCAAGGCTTGCCGAGCTGTGGTCTTTTCTGAAGATGGACAGAGTGAGTACTGGGGAAAGCACCCTGCAGTGTGGCGGTGGGAACAGCTCAGTAAGCAGCACTGACCTGGGCACCTTTTCCCACAGAACTTGTTACTGTTTCTAAGGATAAAGCCATCCATATCCTAGATGTGGAGAAGGGCCAATTAGAAAGACGTGTTTCTAAGGCTCATGGGTAAGGGCTGTTAATTTGTGTGTGTGCATGGAGGGAAGGAGTAAGGACTAGGAGTGTTAGTCCCTATTAGGACAGAAGTGCCAAGAAGTTCTGCACATGTCTCTCCAGTGCTCCCATCAACAGTGTGCTGCTGGTGGATGAGAATGTTCTGGCCACTGGGGATGACACAGGTGGTGTCCGGCTGTGGGACCAGCGGAAGGAGGGCCCCTTAATGGATATGCGGCAGCATGAGGAGTACATTGCTGACATGGCTCTGGACCCAGCCAAGAAGCTGCTGTTGACAGCCAGGTACAACCTCAGAACTGCCTACCATCTTTTCCCTCATTGCTCTTCCTCAAAAATACATCCACCTAAGTCTGCTACATTGTTCTCTACAGTGGCGATGGCTGCCTGGGTGTCTTCAATATCAAAAGGCGCAGGTTTGAGCTACTTTCAGAGCCTCAGTCTGGGGACCTGACCTCTGTCACTCTCATGAAAGTATAGCTGGGTATGATGGGATGGGTGCGTGTTGGGGCTTGGTCTGAGGTGGCTGCACAAACATAGTTTTTCCCTTTTTTTCTGCAGTGTGGGAAGAAGGTAGCATGTGGCTCTAGTGAAGGTACTATCTACCTCTTTAACTGGAATGGTTTTGGGGCCACAAGTGACAGATTTGCCCTGAGAGCTGAGTCTATTGACTGCATGGTTCCAGTCACTGAGAGTCTACTGTGCACGGGGTCCACTGATGGCATCATCAGGTAAGGGAAACCTGCTTCTGAGGCACTGAGTGTACTTGGGGGTAGAAAGCAGGGCAGCTGAGGGAGTCCGGGTAATTCCCACAAGCCAAGTACCCCAATACTATTCTTTCCCTGCCCAGGGCTGTGAACATTCTGCCAAACCGAGTAGTAGGCACTGTAGGCCAGCATGCTGGGGAGCCGGTGGAGGAGCTGGCTCTTTCCCACTGTGGACGCTTCCTGGCCAGTAGTGGCCATGACCAGCACCTCAAGTTTTGGAACATGGCCCAGCTGCGAACTGTGGTGGTGGATGATTACCGTCGACGAAAGAAGAAAGGAGGGCCACTGCCTGCTTTGAGCAGCAAAGCCTGGAGCACTGATGACTTCTTTGCAGGGCTGAGAGAAGAGGACTCTAAGGGTCCAGAAGAAGAGAGTGAGGACAACAGTGACTGAAGGGGCCGGGGAGATGGCTCAGAAGAATAAGCGCTTCTGTGGCAAGTGCAAGGGTCTGAGTTCAATCCCCGGTTCCACAAAAAAAAAAAAAAAAACAAAACACCCAAAAAACAGTGACTGAGGATGAGGACAATCTGTTGGATCAGAAATTTTCATTGAGCATGAGGCTTGCTTCCTAAGACGAACTCTTAGGTCATGAAATTTGGTGCACGTGCATCCAAAGCACATAGTCACAAGACACAATTATATTAACACTTGTTGTACAGGGGATCAGAACTCAAGAGTACTTAAAACAGGGAGGTTATGCCCTGTAGCAGCTAGCTGCTCAATCTGCCAACGTAAGACAAATCCTTGAATATATTAAGACAATGCAGACGTGTGTATAAACTAGGAGTTTAATATAAATACAACCAGCATAGAAAAGCTCAAAACCATATACAAAACAAAAATCAGAATGGTAACCGGTGGGATGGAAGGGCATAAACTGACCCTTTGGCTCAGCCAGTCTCCCAAATAAAAACAAAGATTCATGCTAAGTTTGGGGGTAAGGGAGAGGGGGTGATAAGGTATTTTGTATAGGGAATGGCCAAAGAGAAACCAGACTGGAGTCGGCAAGACCCTGGGTACAGGGTGGAAGGGCAAGGTACCTCACCAGAACTTAAGCCAAATCTGAGTAGTCCTCAGATGTTGCTTGGGCCCTGCCCCACTCCCCCTCTGAGAACCAGTAGCTGCTGCCCAGGCCTGCTGGGCTGAAGGCTGATACAGGCCCTGCCTACAGTTCAGGCTGCCTGTGGGGAGATGCAGGCATCACTGCTTAACCACAGAACCTGCTTCAGCTCCTGAAAACCATAAAAGACCACCTGCAGATTCACTCAACGCCTCCAGCAGCCGAGCAGACACAGCATCCTTGGCCACCTCATGTGCATCCTGCCCATCCGTGGCCAGCACGACCCAGATGAGGCCGCTAAAAGGTACTGGATGCCCAGGGATCACTACCTGGTACCAGAAGCGGTGCCAGCCAGCAGGTCCTGCACCCAAACATTTGGTTAAGAATATTGGGCTGCCCAGCTTCATTCGTTGGCACAGCAGCTGCAGAGTAGCCCGAGAACCTTGGTACCCCAGCTTGCCCCTGGCCAGGACCAGTTGGCTGCCATCTGGCTGAAGGCACTGAAGTGAGGGACCCACAAGCTGCTGGCGGAGCCACTGCTTTAGGTCTGGCTTGAGCCACTCCACAGCCACCTGTTCTCCACAGAGGCGTGACTGACCTGCAGAAAAAAAGCAAAACAGACAAGGGCATTTCTAAGCCCTAGCTCAAGCTCTAAAATAGTTTGAGCCCTTGTAGTATAAACTTGTAAACTCCTGTGTTTAAAGCATAGCCTCCCCAGCCTGAGGAGTGCCCAGCCTAAGGGCCTTAAATTAACAGCTTTGTCTTTATTTGTAAGGGAGGTGTAATAAAACTGGCTTTTAAGTTTCCTTGAAGGAGTACTATTTGATACAGATTTTATCTACCTCATAACCATCACAATGGCCAGCCTTTCCTGTCAATACTAGCTGTGAGCCAGGAAATGTATTAAGTACCACAAGCTCATTGTCACTTAATTCCCACAACAGTCTGGAGAGGCAGTTTTTTCCCTAGAAAAGGCTTAGTTGAACTCCCTTGGGCAAATCAATTTTTTCACTGGAATGTGGAGAATGAATCCATGAGCCCAAGGAGTGCTAAATTTCGGGAAAGGCTATGTGTAGCTTGACTCTTAATACTATAAGACTGACCCTTGCAACACGCCAAGCTGTGGCTCCCCTCACCTGCTTACCTTCTATTAGGGCCTTTTTGGCCATGGCGGCGGCGCGGTGCGAGCTGAACTTGAGCAGCGCTATCTGCGCGGGCTGCCGGCCAGGACTGGGCAGCAGCTGCGCCTCCTGCAGGCCGGGCCCCAGGGGCTGCAACGCCAGCAGCAGCATGTTGTGGGTCACGCCCAGCGGCAGCCCGTCCACGCTCAGCTCACACTTCTCGGTGCTGCGGCAGACGAGCAGCGGGCACGACGGTCGCAGAGGGTGGTTGTGCAGCGTGGCGATGGCTGCCTGGGCGCCGCGCCGCGAGCTGTAGCGGGCGTAGGCGAAGCCCCGGTTCAGGCCACTGAAGGTCATCATCAGGCGGAACTCGTAAAGCCGGCCCACACGCTGGAAGAGTGGGATCAGCTGGTGCTCGTACACGTCCTGGGGCAGCCGGCCGATAAACACCTCGGAGCCCGCCGGCGGCGGGCTGCCCACCCAGCCTGGAGAAGAGGGTGGGGAGGGCACTGTCACGTGCGGGGAGGCGGCCCGGTGTGCGAGGGGTCGATGGGAGCGACCGTCCAACAAACGGGTACCGTACCGGGGAGTGGAGTAAGACGACCGCGCTACTAGCAACCAGGCTGGCGCTGAGCAGGTGCACTTTGGGGCTGGCTCCCACTTTCCGACCCAGGCAGTGGGCGGGGGGCCTTCCCAATCTGCTGGGGGGCGTCCGCCCGCCCTCGGGTCGGCACAGCGGGGGCGCACGCGGTGGGGGGGGGCGTACCTGGGGGTGGCCCGCCATACTTCCTCTGCCCGTTCACTTGCACTAGGCGGACGCCTGTCTCCCTGACCCACGCCTCCAGGGCCGCCTTATTTTCGGGATTCACCCTCTCACACCATTGCTGAGGGAAAAGGCAAATTGGAATTGTGCACTGCCGATGTCCCTGCCTCCGGTAAATTGGAGACCCTGTAGCCACGGCCTATGCAGGCCGAATTCCCGAATTTCTCCTCCGCTGACACTTACCTCACATTCGCGTTTGGACTGCATGGCTGTGCTGCAATTTCACCCGCCCGTATCCTCTTTCTTAATCCCTCCTCGTCCTCCCCAAGCCCTAGGCCTCTGGAAACTTCTCTACCCTCTGCCCCTAAGCGCTCATTGGCCTTGAGCGCGGCCCCGCCTCTCAGGGGTGGAGCTGCACGTGCCCCCCACCCCCACCCCCTCTGTGAAAAACTAGAAACTCTGGTGCAAGGCGGGGGCGGGCATCCCCTGCTGAGAAGTGGACGCTGGAGGCAAGAACCTCCTGGGTGTCTTCCCTTTTCCACCTACTAAAAGCTCTGAACGAGTGGTTCAAGAGGCTGGTGGGGCAGGCCTAGGGAGGCGTCAGCAACACAGTTCAATGGTTCAGGCATTTTATTAGACCTTTGGCGCCAGGTGTGGCAGGAAGGCATCAGTTCCATCTGGAATGGTGCCCTGTGGAGCCCATGTCAGGCCTGAGGTGGTCCGGCTTAATTCCCCATGGTGCCCCATGGCGCTCTGTAGAAAGTGATGTAGTATCCAGTCATCTGCCAATTATAATAAAAATAAAGTCTCTGTTCTGCCCACTCTTCAGGTCTTCTTGGGAACAAAAGTGTGCAAAACTGTTTAAGCACAAATGCAGCTTTAGCCTCAAATAGTGTCAGTCCCACCTTCCTCTGATAAGTTTGCTTGGCTCAGCAGATGCAGAGAGGCTGGCTTGTTCTTCTTTTAATTTCTTCCACAAGGTCTTCTCTTTGGACATCCACCTGGCCAGGATGAGGGAGAATGTGGTATGAACATCTTCCACTGCAGTTTGGCTCAGTTGGGATCATGACCCAGTCAGACACCCCCTGGGGAGACTGCCCCTTTGGGAGAGCTGGAAAAGGAGGGGTACCACATATGTAGGGACTGGAGATCTTATCTGATACCACCCCCACAGTAACAAATTAAGCCCTTAGATCCTGTATTATATGGGTCAGGCTTTTGCTCTGGTCTCACATGGACAAGGGCCCATCAATGTAGTAGTATACATTCTATGTCTCTTAGCCTTTCTGCCTTTCCCCCTTACCTCTTCCCTGCTGGCCACCAAACGCAGCTTGATGACCCCATCCTTGAGCTCCTGTTCACCGATTATGGCCACCAGGGGGATGCCTGCTTCCTCACAGTACTGCAACTGGTTCAGTAACTTTGGGTTCTTCTTGTAGAGCAGCTCAGCCTATGAGGGACCAGGATAGACGATAAAAGCTGGCATTGCCCAGGGATATAGCTCAGTGGCACAGTGTCTGCCTGGCAAGTGTAAGGTCCTGAGTTTGATTTCTGGTACCAGAAATAAAACAAACAAAAAAACCCAACTGGCTTCAACTGTCTTCAGGAATAACTTCCTAAGGGCCAAAGCTTTGCTCTTAGCTCCACCCCAAGAAGTAATGACAAAAGGCACTATGGATGAACTAGTTTTGCACAAAACTAGGTTTGTGTCTAGTATACCCAAGTCTGCCATTATGGGGCTTGCCTCCTGTACCTTGATACCAGCATCCCACAGCTCTGAGACAAGCTTCAGTCTCTCTTCCAATAGCTTCTTCTGTGCAGATGCCACAAGCACCTGTGTTTCTGTGGTCCGTACCTTCTCCTCTGAAGCCTAGTGAAGGAACAAGCAGGACTCAGAGTTGGGCTAAACCCATCAAAGAGCAAACAGGGAAGGCAGTCAAGACACTGAAAGACTAGGTCCACCTCAGTGAGACCTACCAGGAGGAGAACCAGTCTAACAGTCTTCTCACTTAGCAGTTGGACAGAAGGTAGCTCTTATAAGATTTAAGAAATCAACTGAGAGGTGTGGTGGTGCACACCTGTAATCCCAGCATTTGGAACACTGAGCAAGAAGATCACTGAATTAAAGGCCAGCCTGAACTACACAGAAAGACCCATCTCAAGAGAAAAAAAAACCTGACTTGTAAGAAATCTAGGGCAAGGGCAGTTTGTCTACATTCACCTCAAGTTCATCTCCATCCAGGTTATGGTCCACAAAAACATTCACATGGAAGTATCATCATCATGAGCCCACCCTGGAAATCACATCATCCCTGGCATTATAGTCCCACCTACTACTTAACTGCCCACCCAAGAGATCATGCTTTTCATGGGGCAGACCTCAAGGTTATGCAGATTGGGAATAAGGGGGAATGCTGGTGGTGCTCCTGGACTTGCACGCAAAACTATTTTCAAAGTTCTTACAATGTAAGGTATCTACTGGAACAATGATGTCAAGTGAGAAACTTGGGTGGCATCCTCTCCAGAGAAAAGGGGCAGGAATACTGAGGATGCCAGAGCATTCATGAGGATGAAGTACAACTAGCCATTTAAGAGCAGTAGCAACACAGGTGGACCTGAGGCCATGGTGGGCTTTCTTGCTGTTATTCTAGGTGCTAGAGTTAAGGCAGCCCTGAGAGATCCCAGAGCCTGACGTATGCTTCCAACTGACAGACAGGATTACAGAATGATTAGGAGCCAGGTACTGGAATCTATTACCTAAATTCAAATTCTGACTCTTGTCTCATAAATTTCATGACCATGAGCAGTACAATGTTTAGTATTCTGTCATGAAGAAGATCTGGGTTTTGGACATAGCAGCCCAGATTCCTGATAGCCCCAGGGAAAGTAGGACTCAGAGCAGAGATCTAGTGGAGAAAGAATGATGAAAGATCCATAAAACTGGCCTATAATGGGGTGAGACTATAAGGGCAGTGATCATCTCTTTTTCTATTTCTCTGAGATGCTGCTTTGGGTAAGCAGCATTTTTTGCTCCCTTGGGGATTAGCCAGCCAGGGTCCACCACCTGCCTAGACTGTCCTGAAGACCTACCTCTAGTCTCTGCTCCACGATGGAGAAGATTCGCTCCACTCCAATGCTGAGCCCCACACAGGGCACCTTGCGCCCTTTGGGGTCAAACATGCCCACCAGCCCATCATAGCGCCCTCCAGCAGCCACACTGCCCACGCCAAGGGGCTCTTCCCCTGCCTGGGCTGGGATCTGTAGTAGCACAGCTTCATAGATCACCCCTGTATAGTAGTCTAGACCTCGAGCAAGGCTCAGATCGAAAGAGATCTGTGGAGAGGAGGACATGGTCAGTACCAGATTAAGATCAGAGACTTGAAGGCACAGAGGTCAGCTGGGACTCACACCTGCAACTTGACTCACCTTGTCAGCAATGCCAAACAACGTCAGATACTCAAACAGCAGCTTCAGATCTCCCAGGCCTTCCAAGGCTTGCTTGTTTTGGGATAGTTTAGGATCCTGGAGCAGTTGCTCCACCAGAGACACACCGCCTGGGAAGACAAATTTGTGAGGCCGACTGTGGGAGTCCATCTTGTCACCTAGACTGCAAGTATATGCACGTGCACACATTGTAACATTCAGTCTGTGGGCAGTGGGATGGGTGCTGGGGAGGAAGACTAAATTCTGTTTCTCACCATGTTGCTGGACATAGTCTCCAATGCGGTCAGCCACTTCAGGTGCAAGGCCCTTCTCTCCCACCATCTCATTCTTGACATCCTCCCAGGATACCTACACAGACAGACAACAGTCAAGAATTCCTTTGCAAGTTCCCTGCCACAGAGCTGAAGCTGCCCTGTAACCTGGGGTAATCTCTTCTGGTGGGCATGGAGGCAGCTGCCTCTTTCCATCTCCTTTTCCTTTCTTTATTTTGGTACTGAGAATCGAGCTGAGAGCCTTGGCACTGAGTTAACATGTTCTGCCCTTTATTTTTAATTAGTATTATTAATTTTACTTTGAGAGAGAATCCTAGTAAGTTGCCAAGTTGCCCAAGAGGGCTGCAACCTTCCTGCCTCAGCTTCCTAGAGTACTGGGTTTATAGGCATGGACCACCACACCTGTCTTTTTTGGAAATACAGTCTTGCTATGTATAGCCCAGGACGGCCTCAAACTCACAGTGATCTGCCTGCCTCACCCTCCCAAGTGCTTGAACTACGGGCATACACCACCATGCCCAACTATATACTGTCTTACCTTCTATTTCTCAAGGCAGAGTAGGATTTGAGAAGAGTAGAGTAAGGTATTTAGTTACCTTGTCCAGCTTGTCCACTGAGGAACAGATGGTGCGGAACTTGCTATCTGGAACACCACAAATAGCGAACATGCCATCTAGGATGCGTCGGTCATTGACCTATAGGAACTAAAGGCATGGTGAGGAAGGAATCTCTTTCCTGTTATATGACCCTCAATAACCTTTGGTATTTGTCCCTCTGCCAGACCCAGCTTTACCCTCCCAGTCTTGTTCGGCTCTGACCTTGACCAGGAAGTCTCCTATCTGAAGTGAACTCAGGATCTCACACATGATCTTCAAGCACTCTGCATCAGGGATCATAGGGTCAAATTGCCCAGCAATGTCAAAATCCTGCAGGTAAAAGGGGTAACCAGAGTTCCTCAGGGGTTCAGTGGCTTTAAGGGGAAACTTGTGAGCTCTGTGGTGTCTAAAAAGGCTTGTCTACACACAAGTACAGACTTCCTCCTTTTGCTGTCTGGCAATTATCCAGTGTTAATCCTTAATTCTTCTGTTTATCAGAAGTCCTCTTTTCAGTCTGGATAATTTGAGATCTTAAATAAAATTTCCCCACCCTCTGCTATGATCTTATCACTGCGGTTTACTACAAAGAACACTGAACACAGATTGCCCTTTCCTTCACATTCCACAGGGCCCCTGAAATCTACATGAAAATAACACAGAGACCTGAGTATTTTCCAGAACACCCAGTTTGCTCAGAAAACCACAATATTCAATAGATTCCACTAGCACAAGTGGGGCCCAAGTTAGCCATCTTGTCCGCACCTCCCCCCCATTTCCCAACACTTACACACTGGTAGAATTCCCGGTATCGGCCACGGGTCATGGCTGGATTATCCCGCCGATACACCTTTGCTATATGGTAGCGTTTAATGTTGGTCAGTTTATTCATTGCTAAATACCGAGCAAAAGGAACCTGATGACGCAGAGTTAAGGAGAAACCCCCTCCTACTGCTAT